TTTCCTTACCGTGACTGCCTCAGGATAGCATCTGCTTCACTGACAGCTTCAAATATTTGATATCACCAGCCTTTGATCTAGATGTTGTGACAAGCATTCTTACCTGATCCCCATTCAATCTGTTCTTTTTCTTAAAAGAGAGGGGCTCAGAAAGTCTTCTGCAACAAAGATTTTCTTCCCCCAGAGAGGTGAGCAGGTCTGCCAGTTCAGTGAAGCTCGTATGGGTACAGCCAGGATCCATGCTGTGGAACTGTCACTGTTATTCTGGGTTGCCTCACTCTCTGTGGCTGTGACTTTTGGAGCTGGTCCAGTGCTGTTTCTTGGCCAGTGTTACACCCATTAGATCACCACTCCATGCTCCACGCTGTAATCCCTGCAACCTTCTGTCTTCAGCTGGGCACTTATTGCTGAGCAGTGCCATTGTGAGTTTTGTGAGCATGTGAGAGACATTTTTTGGTTTGGGTCTATCCAATTCCATCATCTAGAGACCAGCAAGGCCTGCGACTCTAGATTAGAAAATATGGGAGCTGACCCCGAAAGGTAATTGAGGTCATGGACAATTGAGACCAACTCACAGGGGGTTTTGCACCTGAACAAAACTTTGTAGAGCACTTAAAGCTTCAGATCCACACCAAGGCACTAAAATATGTGAGTAGTTTTTGGTTCTTTTTTCAGGTGGTGGCAGTCTTTTCTTACTCCTTGCATGAACAACAGTTGCACAACTTCTCAAAACTTAGATCAGCTCTTTAGGTTTTGGAATATTAATGGGAACAGTAACAGAGCTGCAGACTGGGGACAGAGTGGCTGGACTGTGCCCAGGCAGAAAGGGACCTGAGGGTACTGATTGACAGCTGACTGAACACGAGCCAGCAGTGTGCCCAGGTGGCCAAGAAGGCCAACAGCATCCTGGCCAGTATCAGGAATAGTGTGGCCAGCAGGAGCAGGGAGGTCATTCTCCCCCTGTACTCAGCACTGGTGAGGCCACACCTTGAGTGCTGTGTCCAGTTCTGGGCCCCTCAGTTTAGGAAGGACATTGAGACGCTTGAGCGTGTCCAGAGGAGGGCAAAGAGGCTGGTGAGGGGCTTGGAACACAAATCCCATGAGGAGTGACTGAGGGAGCTGGGCTTGTTTAGCCTGGAGAAAAGGAGACTCAGAGGTGACCTTATCACTGTCTACAGCTACCTGAAAGGTGGTTGAAGCCAGGTGGGGGTTGGTCTCTTCTCCCAGGCAACAGGTGACAGAATGAGAAGACACAGTCTTAAGCTGTGCCAGGGAAGTTTAGGCTAGACACTAGAAAAAAATTCTTCACAGAAAGAGTGATTGGGCACTGGAATTGTCTGCCCAGGGACACGGTGGTGTCACTGTTCCAGAATGTGTTTAAAAAACCACTTGATTAAGCACTCAGTGCCATGATTTAGCTGATAAAGATACATTAGGTTACAGGTTGGGCTTGATGATCTCAAAGATCTTTTCCAATGTAGTTTCTTCTGTGATTCTGTGATTTTGGCTTTTTAATTTTTTTAAAATCTTCACTTATGTTTTTTTAAATTTTGTATTTCCATAACTAATGGGATTTGAATAATATGTTCTATAGCTTCATTGATGTACTTTAGAGGACAATTCAAAGAGGAGGAAAGTGGGAATGTTTCACTTACTGATCATTATTACAGGGAACTGTAAAATGAGAATGGATACCTGCAATACAGTGAGAAAGTCAAAATACTAACAGAAACAACCAGCTATTATTACATTAAGTAATTGTCATTCAATCCAGCACCTGCACAGTAAATGCAAACAGCAAATTGCAAAATAAATCAATCTTTGACATCTCATCAGTATTGCTGCAGAGACAATTTGTCAGATTATTAAAAATACTGCTACCTGCAAGCTGGCATTGGCGTATCCCCAGAGAGAGGGTTAATGCTTAATCAAATGGTGTCACATTAGAGAAGGTCTCCATAAATAAGTAAAGAAATGTTTTATAAAATGGATTAGTTGTTTTTAGCCCAGTAATTTTTTAAATTTTATGGCAATGTTAGTGTATTCTTACACTAATTTACTGCAGTTCTGCCATGGTGCAGTAAAATTGAGCAGGATTAGCAATGTCATGTTAGGAATTAGTAAATGTATTATTGTAACTGGTTTCCATTGCTTCAGAAGGCAAGACATGTCCACATTGCTAATTCCCGTAATGTCTGAAGGCTGTAACACAGGGAGTGGAATGCAAAGGAATCTTCCTGAATAGATGATTTGAGTTGCATTTCCTTTCCCAGAAAGTTCTATGAATTCACAGATTATGAGATAGTTCCATACAAAACCAACCTCCAACCCTCAAATCCTCCAGTGCTCCTTAGCAGAACTGAAATGGCTAGGAACCCCTTCAATCTTTCATCTCAGTTTAAGGCCAAATGAAAACCTCTCAAAACTTCACCTCCCTGATCTGGGCACACCCAGATGTCTCCGGAAAATAGCAAGGATTGAAGGTTTGGCACATTGTTGAGAAAATTGTGCTTGCTGGGGCTGAGACTGGGGTTTGGAGCTTTTCTGCAGATCCATGCTAGTGGCTGGTGTGGGAATTCCAAGGAGGAGCTGTTTGCTTTGTGCCTGGGATGTGCTTCTGGTTCACCATCTCCTCTTGTGACACAATAATTCAGCATGGTACTTTGTTTGAGACTGGCAAGCACAGCTGAGATTCAGTAATCCTGGAGAATCCTACAAAACAAATACTTCTGTGCACGCAGTGGTTAGCTTTGTTCTGCTCTCACAAATGAACCTGAGGGACTTCTGTTATGCCAAGAACGGTAAGTGAAAACAGAATTAAATCATAACTGCTTAGATTATGTTCAGTTCCCAATGGGAATTACACTGAGAGTTGCCCCCTGGGGCAGGAGGGAGCCATAGTCCATGAGAAAGCTGCAGGAACTGGCAGGATGGGAGCTGGAAAAGATAACAATGAAGCAAGGACTGATGGATGGAAAAAGCTAATCTTGAAAGGTTGTTTGGGAAAGCACATAGCTCTACAGATGCTGTTGCTGTCTCTCATATAGGGGACATATCAACTGTTGAATGTGTCTATGGTTTTGTGTTTGCAAACTTGGGTGTTGCAGTTCTGAACTTGCAAAAAATTAAGGCTTCAGTCTCATACGAAAGTGTGATATATCGTGGCTTCCTTTCTCTAGCCAGGGAACAAACTCCTGACCTATCATTTTGCCTAGATGTCTGTTGTTGTCACAATGAAAGACAAGATCCACACTATGAGAAATCCAAGAAAAGTTAATCTGCAGAATGAAGTGTGTATGTACAAAGAGAAATGCGTGTCTAAGCAGGGCTACATGTATATGAAATATCATCTGTGTGTCTGTACAAATCTGATTTCACTATTTTCTACAGATTTTATCTAAACTGGAATTTGATTTTACTTTCCTTTGCCATAAAGATCCAAGCTGTTGTTTGTTTGGCCATACAGATCCTTCAACACACTAGCTGGCAGTACCCCTGTGTGCTTCACAGTAATATCTCTGTTTCTCTACATGATTGTCTTGGTTTGAAAGACAGGTGTCTGCTGGAGACAGGACCCTCCCTTGAAATGGAAAATGTAAACCCTCTCCCTCTGAATTATTATAATTTTCAAATTAAGGGACTCTCAGGCAAAGATATGAGAATAGGAATAACAGTTCTTTACTAGTATGTATAATAAAGCAAACAAACAACAACAACTACAGCAGCAACAACAAAACAGAACCAGGAACCCAGTGACAGCCTTCTCCTGGCCCCAGGCACTTTTCCATTTGGTGCAGTTCCGGTCACAGCCGGCAGGGAGCGCTGGCGAGCTCTGGGGCAGTCAGGGCAGGTGCGATGATTCCCCCGTGGCTGCAGGGGGCGCTGTGGCACAGGCTCGGGCAGCACGCAGCAATGGCGGCTCGGCCCAGACGGGAAGGGGTGGAAGAGAGGCTTTGCTTCATAAACCCCCTGGGGCAGTCTGTCCTGTGCCCCAGCAGGACTCTTGGAAGCAGCAAGCTGGGCCGGCAAGATGTATCGGCATGTAGGGGGTGCAGGGCTACAGTGCAGCGAAAACTCAAAGCAGTGCTGATGAAGCAGCGGGGGTGGGGCAGCGGTGACCTGACTCCCAGCGCAGGGCAGGGAGAGGAGGGCTCAGGATCCCGGGCACTCGAGCAGATGGTGATAGGTCTCTCTTTTAGTGAGATAGGTGATAATAAGGTCCCAGTTCAGTGCCTGCTCTCACAAGCAGAGGCTCACCTCACAGCAGAAGAAGCAGCGGCAGCAGCGAATTCCTTTCTCCAAGCAGCAGCTCCGACCATCCTCCTATGGAGCCGAGAGAGAGAAATAGCAGCTGCCCCAGCCCCGCCTTTTGTGTTTTCTAGCAACTTACGGGAAAAAAATTCTTTAAGTGAAAAGGAACAAAAGGAAGGAAATCTAACCCCCAACAATGATGCAGATTGCCAAGTTTAGTAAACTTTCTCGGGAATCATTGAGCTTAGCTCTGCCCTGCAACCATCTTTTGGTGTTTAGTGTTTCCTGACTGCCCCTCTGCAATAAAACACCCCATTTTGCACTCTTGCCAGCACATGGCTCTCGTCCTTCTGTTTTCTTTACCAGAGTGAAATGCAGTTGGTTTTTTTTCTGGACGCAGGGTGATCCTTGCCTCTGCACTGTTTGAGCAGAAATTTGCTTTTCACTAAAATCTAGCTGTTCTTTACAAGAATAATTATTCCTTCATTAGATTCCCAGTAAACAGTAAACCTTTAGTCAGCTACGAACAAAAATGTTGATGTGAGCACTGCCTGGGAGTGCATGGGAAGCGTGACACTGAACATGTGCAGGAGTCTAATGCTCAGTTTAAAATTCCTCATTGGTGTTTCTTACAGAAACTGAAGAAAAGCAGAAAAAAGCTTTCATGAGATATATTTCCCAGGTAGCTTTACTGCTACTTCTGTACTTCTGAAGTAGTTGGAATTTGGCTTAGCAATGGGAATAAGTGTGGGATGAGCTCAGCTGGTCAGAGCAAGGTGCTGATAACACCGTGGCCATGGGTTTGATCCCTGTACAAGCCATTAATTTAAGAGTTGGACTTGATCCTTGTAAGGCCCTTCCAACTCAGAAGATCCGGTGACCCTGACTGGATACAATAGCTTCCTCTAATGTTCTTCATCTTCTAGGATTTATGGAGAAGTTGTTGCAGTGTATTCTCAACACAGAGCTGAAAAGGGGTTTTAACCCTTTTTTTCCCCTTGTGCCTTTTCTGGTGACACGACTGCTTAGAAGTGGCAGGATGGAATTTCAGGGGTATTGTGAAAACATATGTAGGTTGTAGTACAGGATTCCAAGGGAACTGGAGCTGTGATTGTTGCTGGGTGAAGAGCTCTGACTAGCCAGAGCTCTGGTTCCTATTTTACATGTTTCTTTAATATCACTGGAGATGGCTTGCTCTATTCCAAGGAATATGAAGTGCAGATGTGTATACACTGCTCAGTTTCCTTCCATTACTTACAAAGTCAGCATGTTCTTAGCTGTATGGTGGCACTGGACAATAAGATTCTTCTTTTCCATGATATATTCTAGGGCATGTGCCTTCTCACAACTGTCATAACATAAAAACACCTGAGTAAAGAAAATGCAATTAACAAAAATTAAAAATAACAGGAGAAGCAAAATCATTACTGTAAATAATCCAGGAAACCCAAGTTGTAAGAAAATCTAGATTGTACTTCACCATCAGGTTCCTTGGGAAGAGTGATTAGCAGAATTTGTCTGATGCTGAGTGAGCCACATGGAATTTCTTGTAAGATAAAGATTTCAGCACATAATCAGAATTTTAGCATGGAAAAAACCTTTTATAAGCATGTCTCTTTAGCACATCTGGGCCTTGTGTGAAAATATGTAGATTAAATGATAGTTTTAATGTAACACTTCAGAAGCATTTGGACAACAATCTTAGGCACAGGGTGGGATTATTGGGGTGTCTGTGAAGGCCCAGGAGTTAGACACAAGGATCCTGATGAGTCCCAGCTCAGAATATTTTGTTATTCTATGATTCTGTTTCCTTCTTGCACTGTCAAGTAAGTAAAGGGACTTACTGCTCCTGAGTTAAACCAGAGGGTGATTGTAAAGTATGGAAATACCTCCAAGACAGCCAGTTCTTTCTTCACATTACAGCCTTTTCTGGATGACTATCCCAAGTTGGTATTGGGGTGAGTGATGTTGTATCTACATCTATGTATGACAGGAATGTCACATCAGTCTTCCCTAAAGGAAACCTAGAGGTGCCAGGGAGCACACAGTGAGAGAACAGGAAGGTGTTTGCAGAGTCCAGGGTTGGCTGTGTGCTTTACTGGTGTGTGGGAGCTGATGCAGCTGTCACTATAGCACCCATTGGCCAGGAGTGTGCTGTGAGCACAAGGGTGCCTTGGTTATGTCTGGCAGGTCACATTGCAGTGCTTGCTTTGTCAAATCCAATACTGTGTGGGGCAGAAGTATGGGAGCTCCTGCTTCCCTGTGGGAAAAGGTAAAGGGCTGGAGTAAGTCTCTGGGGAGCTTCAGTGCCCCAGTGTAGCTGAGGGGGTCTTTGGTAGACCCCAAACTGCCAGTTATAGCCAAGGTCAGTTATCTCACAAGGGACAGCTTCCCCTGGAATCTCAGCCAGTTTTTGGCTACAAGGTACAAATGCAAGCAATGCCTGGAGTCAGGCTTTCAGCTCTTTTGTGAAATCAGGCTTGCAAGTACCTTCTTAGCCAGCAGAGAAAGAGATCGAGAGATGCCGATGAGGAAGTTCCGTAGAATCTTTATTTCTTCTACTAAGGGGGTCCTGTCCACCAAATCCAGTGGGTGGGGTTCTAAGGGGACTTTTATAGGGTTAAGAGGTCTTGAAAAATGACCAATAACATAAAGGATTGAAAAGTTAACCAACTACAACAGCTTCTAGACTAAAATGAACCAATTATTTGAAGAATCAGAAAAGAACCAATTAAATTGTTAGTAGATAAAAGTGAAGGTTAGCAAAGAGGGGAATATTTCTAGTATTAGCCATTCTAATTCATCAACTTCTTATCTAAGGAATTCTGTTGCATGGCGCCCTCTCTTGAGGGTTTGCCTTTTCTTCAGAGATGGTCTCTGCTCCCTCCACACCCCAGCATGGCAAAAGCCCAACTCTGAAAGTAACCACCTTTCAGAATCTTCCTAAAAATTTTATAAGATCCAGGACATAGCCAGGGCCCTGGACAAGTGTCAGAGCTTTCAGGCTCACTCTCTTCTTTAGTGCTTTTTGAAAGGCATTGTGCCGTGGGAGAAGAACCCCAGCTGCTGCTCTTCCCACAGGAGAAGGGCTGTGATGGCTAGGGGAAATGGGAATGTGTGCTGAGGTGGGCTGGAGCTGGATCTGGTGCTGCCAGTGTGTTCATGGAATGAAAATAATGAGAAATACCCACAAAAAGGGGGTGGGGAAGGAATGGTAAAGTCAGCAATGGAGCAGCTTCTGTTTGTAGCTAGTCTTGCAGTTGTGCTCTCAGAGGCTCAGGCATGGCAGGTGAGCTGCTGGTGATACCCAGCACTGCTGCCAGTATGGAACCCTGGGGCATTGCTTCTGCCCACCTGGCTGGGCACTGTTGTGCTGCAAACAGTCAGACTTTTCCAGCTGGGCCAGGCCCTGATACCTGGTGGTAGCTGGAAAGGTGGATAGCATGGACTTGGAGGAACCTGAAATGGAAAAAACTGAGGCATGAGAAAGGCTGAAACAGCACAATAGATTTGGGAATACCATCTCTCTGTGCCAGTTCCACCCTTCTCAGATCTTCTGCTTTCCCACTTGGCTCAGACTTGTATGTCCACTCCTAAGAGAAGTGTCCTTCTTCCTCCCACTCCATGACTTACATTCCTCATCTCTATCAGGAGAGAAGAGAGCAGAGTGTGTGCTTGCCCTCCTGCAGGAGGGAAGGTTGGTAGCACCTGTATTCTGATTCTGGTTGCAGAGACAAAATTCCTGCCTGAAATGAGTGTACCATAGACAGATGGGACAATGTAATTGATTTTGTTAAAAGTCTCATAACTTTTGGGTTAAGAGTATATCTGCACCCTCATAATACAAGCCTTTTACCCTCATTCATGCTGGGGAAGGGAAGCTTTTCCCCACCCCCCCCCAGGTGGTCTTTTACAGCTGTATCATAGAATCCCAGAATCCCAGATTGGTGTTGGAAGGGACCTCGAAGCCCATCCAGTCCCACCCCCCTGCCATGGGCAGGGATATCTTCTACTATGCCAGGTTGCTCCAAGCCCCATTCAGCCTGGCCTTGGATGCTTCCAGGGATCCAGGGGCAGCCACAGCTTCTCTGGGCACTCTGTCCAGGGCCTGCCCACCCTCCCAGGCAACAATTTCTTCCCCATATCACATCTGTCTCTGCCCTCTGGCAGTGGGAAGCCATTCCCTCTTTTTCTCACTCCAGGCCCTTATCCCAAGTCCCTCTCCAGCTCTCCTGGAGCTCCTTTAGGCCCTAGAAGGGGCTCTGAGCTCTCCCTGGAGCCTTCTCTTCTCCAGGTGAACACTCCCAGCTCTCCTAGCCTGGCTCCAAAGCAGAGGGACTCCAGCTCTCAGAGCATCGCCGTGGCTTCCTCTGGACTCACTCTCACAGCTCCATGTCCTTCCACTGCTGAGGACCCTGGACCTGGGTGCTGTGTGCACTCCCAAAATTAATCTCATATTTTGATTCAGAAATTCTTTTAAACAAAATATCTGTTTTTAAAACTATTCAAAAGTTGTTCTAATTAATGGAAAGGGTGGACTTGTAGGCAAAACCCCACCAAGAATCCTTTTGTCTGCAATTTTCTTATTTATTTCTTAATCCAAGTGCAAGTAAGTTATGTCATTGAACCAGAGTGCTAACTTAAATATAATTTTAATAGAAACCCTTAATTGTTCTAAGATGTAAACTGGTCTCCAACATTTTATCAGCATTTAATGAAAAAAATAGTTGTAGGCTTTTGTGATGTGAGGAATAAGTTAATAAAAAATGTCACTTCAGTCCAAAATAGCAATTAATTTGAATTAAAACATTGCATAGAAACACTTCTCACACTGATGCCTTTTGTGGTCTGTTATTAGGGCATTTTGAGACTGAAAGAATTAATCTTGCCTTCTTATTTAGCTGTGATGATTGTCAAAATTATTACCTACAACTTATTTTACTGTTTCATTTAAGGATGATCAGTATTGTTCTTTTTAGCAAGACAAAACAAACTTTCATCATTTAATTTCCTGCAGTACACAAATTTTGGTTTTCAGCATCTCTGCTCATTAGGCTTTAAATATGTGAACTTTTCAAGTTAGAGAACATAGTATTTATCCTTCCCAAATCTGGATCCAGAGCCAGGTGCCAGCTCCTGATTCATGGCTAGAGACTGACTTTCATGGGAATTTCATTAGTCTGTGTGTGAAACCCATTTTCCCAGCTGTGAATCTGCTGATTGAGCTAAAGCTGGTCCTGAGTCACCTGTTGCTGGCTCCGGGGCCTGAGGCAGTGACCAGAAAATAATTCTGATATTTCTGAATAAAAGGGCATAAATGCATTTCCTTGACAAACTCCTCAGAGTTGGAGACTATTCCTTTTTATTCTCATAGAGTATGGGAATGTCTCATTTTTGATTTGGGCTTGTGCCAATATAAGAAAGATCAAGATTCACAGCGGCCAATGTGGAAATGAACTGAAATTACTATTTAAGAAAGCAAAGCAAAAATCCTACATTTGGAAAGAATTTATGATCCTCAACAGTTGAATTTTAAGGGAAATTCAATACAGTTTTGTTTGAGCCAGCAAAGCAAAGTAACATGACAGCACGTTTCAACATCTATTTTCTTCACTGATCTAAGTGAAAATTGTTGATTCCATGTTTGTTCCAAGCAGGGACATGCCACAGTTGCCTTAAATTTTCTTGCAAACAATGAATCACTACTGGTGGCACTGCTGGTACTTCTACAGCTATTAGCACATATTTAGACAAACTTAATATCAGCATTATGGATGTTAACACTTAGTAAGAGCTATCAGCCTACCCAGGGAACAAAAGG